TGAAATACTTACATTAGTTTACCATCAAGACCTGGTCAGAAATGGCACCTCTGATTTCACAGGTATTGAATCTGAACCCAAGCCTTCTTTAACTCTACAATACTAGGTTAGGGATGGGAGCTGAGTTAACTCAACTACAATATCTTTTCTCTTCACTCTCTCCCACCCCATCTGCCTACCATCTCATTTCCTCTCAAGCTGATTACTGGAAAGACTCCCTCTGCCACCCAAGACATTTGGGAACTTCCCTATCTCCACTGAGCTGGAAAATAACCTCTTTCTATCTGCCTGCCTGCCCTCACCTCGACCTGATCTATGGCACAAAAGAGCTTACTGAGTCCCTGGCCCCAGAGTACTGGCTCTGAGGAGCAGCCCATCCATTCCGGCTTACTTTGTGAGGCAGGGACAGTACCTGTTTAAGCAAGACCGAGAGGGAGGCTGGGGTGGAAGAGCAGGGCCAGGAGGGACTTACTCTGTGAAGACTCCCATCACTAGGGTGACCAGATAGCAAGTGTGAAAAATTGGGACAAGGGATGCGGGTAACAGGTGCCTAGATAAGAAAAATCCCCAAATATTGGGACTGTCCCTATAAAATCAGGACATCTGGTCACCCTACCCATCACAAACCTTTCCTTCATCACAGACCAGCCCCCCTCCTCCTCTGCTGGCTATGATTCCCTTTCCAGAAACAACAGTCTCAACTAAAACTTCTCCCTTTCTCCCACCCAGATGCACAAACTGTACCAGGACGCACATTCAAGCCCAGCTTTCAGGCAGCTGTCCAGCGTATCCTCCTCCCTTTTCTCCATCTCCTTGACCACTTTCCTCGAATGAGACGTTTTCCTGTCCCCAGGCAAACCTCTACCCTCGCTCCTGTCTGACACCACCGCCTTTGGCATGATTTCTCTTCTCTTCCACTCTTTGTTGCTTTCCTGCCAGAAGGCATACCCTGTGAGGCTCCAATAGCAGAAGAACTGAAGAGTCAAAAATGCCTGAGCTGCTGCAAGAAGGAGGGAAGGTGAGAGCAGAAACAGTAAATGATTCCGAGAACAATGGGACTGCAAAGAAAGAATGAACAAAAGCAAGCTAGAAAGAATGAGTGCACTGCTCTCTTTAGGAAGGAGATCAAAGTTAAAGATAGAGATAGCAAAGTTTGTAGATTTCATAAGCACTTCTGGAAATGGGTGGGAAAGGTGATGAACAGAAAAGCAGTTCAAAAAAGAATCCAGACACTGTGGGGCTTAAATCATAAAAAGCAACTTCTTATGAATTTTAGAGGGATAACAGAACCCTGTGGAGACTTCTGACAATAATTGTAGGGTTTCTACAAAAACAACAAGGAGTCCGGTGGCACCTTAAAGACTAATAGATTTATTTGGGCATAAGCTTTCTTGGGTAAAAACCCCACTTCTGTCCCTTTTTCTGTCTGCAATATCTTGAAAAATTAGGGGATGCATGCATGGGGAAAAGTATCCAAAATAGGTATATTCCATGTCAGTCTATCCCTCTCAGTCTTCTGTTCACCTTCATCTGATTTTAGATAGCCATACTGTGTCAGACTCAGTAATTTTAATATAGGACATCCCTGCATATAAATACATCTCAGGAGATATCCAAAACTTTCAGATAAAAGGGTATTTGAATGGTAGGGGAAGCTGACCAGCTGCCTTAGGTAACTAAGGTTGCACTGTGGACCTCCATACTTTGAAAGTCAGTTTTAAAAGGGCCACACTCTGGGTCACCAACTGGAGCATCAGGGGAGTTTTCTGAGCACACACTAAGCCTGGGAAACATAACCAAGTTTAGATTAACTAGAGTTGGGTTGCACAAGGTTATACATTGTACCAGATGCCATTGTAAGGGGGAAAAAGATCAATCAAAACTATTTATCACCTTATTAAACTCAACCATCTTCACGGCTTGTTTTATTTTTTAAAAACAATTGTAGAAAAAATTTAAATAAGGAAACCCCACTAAATCCTGCAAGCCACATGATGGGAAGAATCCAAAAGTTTTTAGAAATACCTCTTTAATTTTAATTTGCAAGGACTGCAAAGAACTTTTGGATTCATCTGGATAGTCAGAAATATTCAGTGGAATATATGACTATCTATGCAATCAAAATGTGAAGACTTATTGTTACATACACCTGCCCAAATAAATGTCACATCAGAACATGAAACGTATGTCCAGGCTTACTTGCTATGTACATTAGTTGGATATTTCTTATTTCTGGTACAGCAATTAAAAGTGAAATGGTTATAATTAGGTTTTAAAGTTAATAGTCCATTAAGGTGACTGGAAGAAGTTCTCACTTCTCAATGTTATTGCTTTCATTATTTGGCAGCAAAGCCAATAAGACACCATAGATTAGTTTACATCTTTGAGGCTCTGTCTGAAACCCAAAAGGCTAGGAACTTAATGATCTAGGCTTTTTTTCCCTTTAAATAAAAAAGATTCTTTAAAAATCAGCAAAAAATCCTTCATTGGGTAGGCTACGTGGCTTGGATAAAATAAGACTCTCCCTTCAACCCAAACTTGAATAAAACAATTTTTTTGAAGATTAAATAAAAAGAATGTTTGATTCATTCTCATACCCCTCCTTTTGCACACACTTTCATTTCTGGGCAATTCTAGACTTCCTAGTCCTGGCCAAGACCAGACATGGAATTGCTGAAATACAGTGAACAATAAAGATGGTTTCTTATGATACTTCCTGACCAAATGTATGCAAGAATTATCAGAAATCTTGTGAGAGTTCCTGGTTTCTGTAAGTTTTTTCCAGACAAATTCTGCAGACCTGAAAGTTTTGGTGAGTCTCAAAAAGCATCAGATTTGAAGGCTCATCCAAATTGTACCTAGCCTTTAAACTTTCTCAAGTACACTATCACAACCTTAAATCCTCAGAACTTGTGGATTTCTGTTGTCCCAAGTTATCAAGAAGACTCACATAACTGAAACGTATTCTGAATACTATTTGTGAGGTGAAACTGGAAAGATGTTCCCATGCTGAGTACAACCCAAACTCATATGTAAATAATAATTTTATCTTTAAGAAAGCAGTCAGCATTTTAAGTTTATGAATCATATATTTCACTTTCATGGCTTGCTCTCAATAAGCTAAATCAAAGTATCTTATATAGTTCATGAAATACTTTCAAACTGTGCCCTGTCTTTAAATGTTCAGTTCTCATAAATACTTTACACATGTCATCATGATGGTCTTTTTCTCCTAATATATGTCCACTGAACTAACTTCTTTATTATTAGCCTAATCTATCAAGTTAACTGTTTCCTGATGAAATTTAACATTCCAAATAACATTCCAAATCCTAAACTAGCCACTTCTCTTTTTGCACACTGAATACAAAACAGGGTTTACTTAGCACATGACTGACATTTTATAACTCATTTGAGAAAACACACAGACTGAGCCAAATTCTGCACTAACAAATCCTCTGCAATTCCATCAACTTTAAGGACGCAATGTATGGTATAAGTGAGCACAGGATTTCACTTACTGAAGCCCTGAACCTGATAGGCTCTTAGGTCCAGCTCCACTGAAGCTAGCAGTTCTCCACAAGGCTGGATCGACTGGCAAGACAGTGAACTTAATTTAGTTTTAGGTGTTTGATTTTAATTGATCTAATCTCACTGATGAAACAAATTTTCGAGTTTATTCTACTCTATTTACAGTTTTTTCTAATTTATGTTCACATTTTCTATTTAGTGGATCTCAAAACTGATATGCTGGAACTAGACTCTCCAGAAAAAGTGAGATTTGGCTTCCTAACCTTCTTCACACTAAATTGCTTTTATTTTATATTATACCCTGTATCCACATGCAAACCCTAGAAATTTCAATGGAACAAGACACAGAAAATGTGCGTGAAATGTTTAGTTGAGTTCAATTTCCTTCCTCTCTCTCTCTCTGTGCTGAATTTTTACTCTGTAATGAAAATATTAAACAAAAACAAACTCAAGTGATGAATCACTCTCACCATCACAACACAAACCCAATGCTGTGAACCTATAGGGGATATTTCATTGTGTAACAATATTTTCATCATCATGTCTGAGAGCTTGTTTTCACAAGTATGGAATAACTGTGTTATCCTACCACAGACCACCTTGAAAAATTCCATTTATATTACATTTTCTTTAGGAATTAAAAAAATATTTTAAAAAAGGCCAAAGAGGTTTAGGACCAGCTGCTTCTGTTTAAGCCCAACTGTTTCAGTACTGATGCAACATAACTACAATGTGATGTCATCTGAAGACCCGGCAGAACATACCCTTAAAAATATGTAGGGGTCTAGTGTCCCCTTTCTGCATGTACATTACCCCATCAGAGTGAATCGGAGTTGCTCACAGTCAGAGAAGAAAATAAAGCTGGACTGAATAGTTATATTAGGAAAAAAAGATACAGGTTCCCCCATGGAAAGAGAGAACCATTTCCCTAATGTTAACATTTAATTTTGTTTCTTATAATTGTTTATAGGGCAGAATGAATATCCATTAATGATTCCTATTCATTTGTACTTAAGCCTACAGAGATGGGGGTTGTTCTTGTATCCTATTTCTATGGTTTTTTCCCTCCATCCATTCCTGTTTCTATGTATCAATGTGTATGTGTGAAGATATTTCTGTTGTATATAATTATTATATATTTAATAGAAGCTTTTCTTGATCGGAAAGATGTAGGGAGAAAAAGCTGAATGTGTAAAAGCTGCAGCTTATACACAAAAGTGTATACACAACACACACACACAGAAAGAATGACATTATCTAGCCAATCACATAAGACAATGACATAGTATATACTATTCTGAATGTAAAACAATGAAAACCTAAAGTGATTAACACCCCTTCAATGCCAAGGGGGCACGACTGTCACTTGCCATTACTGTGTGTGTCTCTCTATTTCTTCATCTACCTAAAATTGGGGTTTCTTATGTAATTCGACACAATAATGTAGAAATTAATTACTATTTACTGACCTGTCTCTGCTTCTCCGTGATGGGAAGGCAGCGTTACAGCCAGCCACTGTGCAGACGTGCATCTCTTTTAAATGAACATTCCTGTAGTGAAGCTTCACGCTGTAGGAACTTTTGAAACTCTTCTTGCAGACGTAGCAGATCTTGGGATCTGGGCTGGAACACAGGTCACCTTCTGGAGAGAACTTCTGAGGGCTGTTGTAGTTGAATGCTGACGTGAAACTTCCATGAAGGGCAGCCACACTGGCACTGCCGCCATTATACAGTCCATATTGGCTCATGTAAAACACATCGTACGCAGGGTCTGTAAACTCTTCCTTCACCTTAATTACATCCCGGTGAGAAGATTCACTGTGATTTTCATCTGGCATCTCACTGTTCATCATAGACTTTTCACTGGATTCATGGATGTGTTCATCACCTTCCATGGATTCCTCACACAATTTTGGCTCTGAGGATTCTGACTCGTTTTCATAGTCTCTCTCATGCTCTTGGTCTTCTGAGGTCATGCTGTCTGCCCTTCTTAACTCTGTCCTGGAAATGCATCTGCTTCTACCGTTTTTAGAAAAGTCTTTCACAGACAATCCTGGGCTCATTTCCTCCTGCGAATGGCAGTGATTGTCATGACCAATATCATTAGCCATTGTGCTGTTGTCATTAGCTTCATCATCTTCATCGTCAAACTCGTCAGCCGTATCAATAACTTCCTTTTCTATTTTAACTGGCATGCTTGACTTCCTTGGTTTCTTTTTAGGGGCAAGGTCAGCATTAGGCTCATGGGTAGGCATCACCAACACAGGTACCGATGACTCTGAAGGAAGAGGAGGATGCTGCTCCACTGAACCACCTGTTGGTATGATGGGACTGGTGGGTAATGAGGTTGGAGGGCTCACCATCTCTCCAGGAGTAAGTAAACTTCTGTAAAAAGGAGGAACAGGCTGGACAGTCTTTAAAGCTGGAAACACCAGCTGGCTAGAAAGAGGGTTCTGTAGTACAGGGTCTAGTGGGGGAGTAGTAAAACCCATTGGAGGCCGACCAGGGCTCGTTAAGGTAAGACCGGATTTTGTACTTGCTATGACGGGGGTGGCAGCTCCTGATGTAGCACGGATTAGATCTTTGTCTCGGTTGTTCCTTAGCATAGGCATGTGAAGGCGGGGATTAGGGTTAGCACTGTGACGATTGCGACTTCTAAGAGAGCTGAAGACCATGTTGCAGCCTTCAATCGTGCACCGGTGTTTGATTTTAAGATGAACTGCATTGTAGTGAATTTTGAGAGTACCTTTGTCATAGAAAGTTTTACCGCACGCATTGCAGAACACTCTCCCTTTTCTTGACGCCGATCCCATTCTTCTCATTCTGTGAATCCTGAATGAGCTTTTCGTGTGCTCAGTTTTGGACAAATCATTAATGGGTGTCGATGTTTGAACAGGAGACACACAGGCTGGCTCAGTTTTGGGTTCTACATTTGTGATGCTGGTCAAAGCATTCCTGCTGGATGTCTGCTCATTCTTGAAAGGAGTGGGAGAAACTTCAGATTCACTGCTTTCATTATATTCATTTTGGGTAGAAAGGCTTGGCTCACGCAGCCTCAGAGCAGGCTGTTCCAGCAGGAGGCCATTTGGAGGCAGCCCCAGCAATGGAGCAGAGACGGGATTTATGTACTGGAATGGAAGCAGAAACGCAAGGCTGTTAGGGATGTTTTCAAAGTGATGAATGCTGGAAGGGTTGCTGTTCTCCAGGTGAGCAAGGAGACTCGGGCTCCTAGTGCGATTATTGCTTTCAATAAAAGTCCTTATATCTGAATCTGTCTTTGAAGATGGCACAGCCACAGCCTGCCCTTCTTTTTCTTGAATTGCCATCAGCTCCACGATGGATTTGGTTTCTCCAAATCTTAGAAACTGCTGAAGGGTAATAATCTCTTCTTCCCTGGACATGATGGCCCAGCGGTCCAGCACCTTGCCTGCAGCATCCTAGAGGCCATATCAAAGAAACAACAAAGACAAACACAAAGAAAAAAAACTTATTGATTCTGCATAATTATTGAATTCGATAGAAGGTGCTCTGCTGCCCGTACATGAAACACTAAGCTCAGAAAACAACATGCAAACAGTGTTAATAGAAGTTGATCCACAAAGCAAACTTTTCTGCCATGCAAATGTAGTAATTAGAGTCACAGTTAGAGAAACAGATTGAGTTTAATAATGTCAAAGCAAACAAAATGTAGACGACTGGGGCTCTGTGATCTAAAATGCCCTCAATACTGCATTATAACAACATGATCTATGTACTATGCAACTGCTTCGCAGACATTAGTTTAAGACATGAATTCTTGCTGTGCAGCCCACTGTAAATACAGAAAACTGTACCTTAATCCTTACAAAATGGTGACACTATAGGAAAGAATGAAATAAATGCATTTGATAGAATTACCTCTTAAATGTAAGGAGACATAAGACTGAATTCAATTAGGAGCAATCTTGTAAAATGCATCTCAAAGAGTTTGAACCAATACAATTAAAAAATAGCATAAAAATATTAACCTACATTTTTCCACAAGAGCAATATATAAAATTGCATTTACTGCCAATGCACATCAAAAGGCTGAAACTGGGGGGAGGAAGGGAAACATTGCTTTTGAGTCTTACCAAACTGTTACTGGCAATTGAGTGCAAACTTCCAACCTGGGTTTGATTTACACTTAAAATATAACTTTTTTACAGTCTTGTTACAAATGACAGTTACAAATATTTAAAAAGTAAACATTTGATGGATGTGGAGAACATAAATGTATAAAAGTGTTGTCTCTTAACATCACCTTCTGATAGCAAGGGAAAAGTCCAGAGAGAGTACACATCAGTAATCAGTAGACTCTCTGTTGTTAAATATACATTAAAAAGCATTTCACACTTTCATTTTTGCTAGTAAGTATGAGATTTGCCTGAAGGTAGAACTTAAAAATTCTGCACTGTAATGTCAGGCAATCCATTCCAGCATGTATTGATAAAAATGTAATAAAATACTTACATAATGAATAGATTTTATCAACATCTCTCCCATTGGGCTAATGCTGGACATATCACCACCTCTGTAGCTACCAACAAACCCCGTCCCATGACCATCAAGCAGAGGTGCCCCAGTGTCTACTGCACAGAACTGCCAGATACCTCTGCATGGAACTCCTCAGTGCTGTATTTTTGTTTGTTTTTTAAATCTTGGATCCCAGATTTAGAGCCCTGACTAAACGTTTAGGATTACCCTATGCAGCAAAAATCATCAGAAGTGGTTTGAGTAGAAAAAACAGTGTATTTATATGAAAATATGAAAATTATTTTCCACATTGCAGTAATGATTCTAGGTTTTTCACATTAATTTTATAGCATTGTAAATCACAATTTTCTCAAATGATGAAACATACACGTAAAACTCTGGCTAGGACTGGTTTTGCTTATTTTAGTTCAGATTTAGCTCAAATCATACGATGCAAAGCTAATGAAATGAGTTAATGTCACTTATGCTGCAATATCTAAGATGTGGCTATAGAGCTGCGAACATGGTTCATGGTACCAGGTATGAGTGATATCACACAATCCAATCTAACAAGAATATAATTAACCCATGACAGAACCATAACGATGGGGAAAACCTTAAATTGACCTTAATCCTGCAAGTTGATCCATGTAGGCAGATCACTGCACTCACGTGGAGCCTTCATCAGTGGGGATCCAGGCAGATCCTTGTGAAGAGCTGCTGGCAGGATAAGGCTATAATTTGTTGATTTGGTTCAGTAAGCAGTCAAAGCTTTGAATACTTTTCCTAACATAGTAAGGGCTTCTCTAACTCCTACAGCCTTAGAATTCCACCTGTCCTGCTGGAAGGGAATGCAGGAACTCAGTGTGATTCAATACAATTGATCCAAAAGGGCAGGAAATCCTTGGAACTGGGACTACACTTTCCTTCCTTCCAAATTCCAAACTGGTTATCTTTTGACTATTTTCCCTGCATATTTTTCAAAAGGTTCCCTATTTCTCCATTCAATTCCACCACCACCTCCACCAAGCCTGCCCTTCCTTGCCACAACGATTCTACATTTTTAAAGACCAGTTTCATACCTGGACCCTAAAATGGCCTCAAAGTTCAAATTTTGAGCCCCTCCTTCCCCCCGCCCCCAACAGCTTTTATCTGAGTCAGAGTTTAAATAGATGGAAAAGGCCTCGCCTCATATTGTTTGGAGGCAGGATCTAAGAGTTCCTCTCCTAATTTATAGGGTTTACTTGGATTGAGTCGGGGACTGTCTGATTGCTGCCAGCTGTGGGTGTTTGTAATGCACTACTGATAGCAATGTATGTTTTTTACATGCAGAGGCTTGTGCAGTAGGAGATGTCTATTTTATAAATGTGGATAGATTCATAAATAAATAAATCAGATTTGGATTGTGCCATTTGCTGGAAAACAGTGGGCTTCTCTGTTGTGAAGCCCATAGAAACCTACAAGTAAGACATCAAGAGGCCAATTAGATCACTCAGGAGACTTGTGGAATTGGTTCTTATGGCACACATTTAGTATTTTGTCAAGCCTAGGCTGAAATGTCCCACGTGATGGGGCTTCCACCACTTCCCTTTGGAGGTTATTCTGCAGTTTAATACATATCCTCACTAAAAGAAGTTTTTCTGACACTTTGCCTAAATTGTTCCTCTCTCAATGCCAAAATGTTACACTTATGTATACTCTTACAGTATCTACTATAGGATTTTCTAGAATTGTGAGGAAGACAATGAAACATTGGGGGGCCAAATCCTCAGGCTCGGCTACAGTGCCAATGAGCTCTTAAACAAGCAGTTGGGGATTTGATTGGCATGGGGTTATCCTCAGCTGGCACAAAGACAACAGCCCAGTGGAATCAGACAGTTGGCTTAAAGCGACCTTAGGCTACTCCTACCAGCCGTATTGAGTGACAGCTCAGCAGAGCTAAAGATTCAATTACTAATTCCCGAAACCACCCACGTCCCCCAATCATTAACATCTTTAGGGCCAGTCCTACAAGCTGTACAAGGACTAGGATTTACACAGTTTTCCCTAACGGTGATAAAGGTAGCATGTGTGGGGAAGCTGGTTGTAGTTAATCATGCACACTTCTCCAGTTTTACTTTTAGAGAGAAAAGGATGGTGAGATAATATATTTTACTGTACCAACTTCTGTTGGTGAAAGAGACAAGGTCCAATAAAGTTGGTCCAATAAAAGATATTACCTCACCCACCTTGTCTCTCTCATAACCTGGGACCAACACGACTATAACAACCCTGCAAACTGTTTTGCTTTTGTCAGATTTTGAGCAAATCTTTATTTTGTTGTCCATGTTGTGAACGTTATATTGCTTTATTGAAGGACACATTCATATGTAGTAAAGAATATTAAACATGCATGCTATTGACTTGAAGACACTGTAGGCTGGATTAATAAATAACAGGTAGATTTTTTTTAAATTTAAGAAACAGCAGTTTATATTCACAAGTTGTCTATTGTTATTTTTTAGCTAGAAATACAATTTTTCTAACAATACAGAAAAGTAGTTTGGGGTCACTATATTTCATAGAAAATATAGCACCTATGTACACTGCATAACGCATAGTTCAATATTTACATAGTGATGGTTTCTATAAATCACTGTAAGTATGTATTAAAATTCAGAACTAGATAAAGAGCAAATAGGAATGTCATTTTTTGATAAAACTTGAAAATTAGAAAAAAAAATCTAACCATTATCCCTTTGAATTAAGCTATAACTAGCTAGGGATCTCTTTGTACACCTTAATACTTGATTAGAGGTTCAAGTCCTTTCTTACATGTAATCGATTTCTTGTTTCTTACAATCTCTCATACTAAATTTTCTCCCCAAAGCCATTAAATCATATCCACATTTAAATTTTTCATGACAAAAGGCTCCAATTTATATTACTTTTTTTCAGCTCAATACCGATGACGCCAAGCCTCCTGTGACAATATGTACAAGTCAGTCAGTCGGTGTAAAGATACCAGTGTGTGCTTTTACCTCTAAGCAAGCCAGTCGGCAAGCATGCTTATCCTGCACAGCAATACAATGGGCGTTCTTGCTTCCCTGGCCATGGAGCCTGATTTCATGTATTGGTGGCTCTCTTCTGATTTCAGAAAGAGAGAATTCTTCAAGCCTCGAAATCATATAAAATTAACCTTGAAGGGCACAAGACCTATAACCTTAAATCTTCCTCTCTCCAGGTCTAAACATACACTCAGTTTTCTCTCGAGCTATATTATTAGTGTAGACACAGATACACACGTACACACACTGTATTGGCTCTGTGAAGCAGTGTCACGGTTAATCATCCTGAACTTGTCTCCTGATTTTTACTGACCTGTAGGTTAGGACAAGATGTGTCAGGATGCATCTTGTCCTAACTTCTAGGTCACATCAGAACAAGTGGTGGGTTTAGGAGGATTATCTCAGAGGATACAAATAGGTTAGAGTAGAAGACAAACACAAAGTTCACTCTAATTTTTATGAGTTTAATTGGGGAGGGCTGGCAAGGGGGAGATTTGGTTTCCTGGGGTTCTTTGAACTTCATAACTTGTAAGTTTTTGATTCAGCCTGAAAGCCTCTCAACTTAAAAGTTGCCTATTTAAAAAGCGAGGGTGGCCTCTATGCAACATATATGCCTTTTTCAACCTAGAACTTCTGTTTTAAAATCAAGTTGCTTTAAACTCTTGTGAAAAACTGAAAAGACTCCTATGATCTCCATTACCCTTTGCTAATTTTATATAGAAACACACACATACACACACACTTTTGTAGGCCTATTTTTAGGTCTCTAATTTACTTCTTGGCACAGCTAAGAGAGGGTGGTTGCATGCACATGACTGTATGCACACTGAGAAATGATTACACAGGAGTTGAGATTAATAAAAAGGTTAAAATAAAAAAAAATGAAAACTCCTTTT